GAGTAGTCAATGCTGGTAGCTAGTACTTTTTAGCATTCACATTTACTATCCTAATTAACAGTACACTTCTCAAATTATTTGTTTTCTGTTGGGAGGGTCTTACTAAATAATAAGAGCATCATTGATACTGTATTCCTCCAAAACTCATACGCCCACGTTTAAACTCATAAATTATATTTTTATCAATATTTTTGCATAAATATGATATGATAAGTAATACATAGTAAAACAGTGGTATCGTGTTTCTGTGTGTGAAATATATATACACACACATTAACATTTTTTGAATGATAGAATTGTCGCGTGCAATAATATATAATAACTAATCACGTAAATGGATTATGTTATAAATATTAAATAATAATATTATTTGGGTATATATACAAACATATATAGTTTTTTGGGAAAAATTGCAGAAAAGGTACTTGTGGTTGGGCCCGTTTTCAGATAGGGGCATGTGTTTCATTTTTTATCAAAGTGGCTCACGTGTTTGAAATCCGTTACCACAAGAGGGTCACGCTGTTAAAATCGTCTGAGAAAGTTGATTAATAGTAACTTCGATTTCCAAAAGTGCCTGGAAAATTAAAAGAAAAATATCAGAAGGTGAGGCTCAATAAGAGTACTTCCAAACCACCTTTGCAAGTATCTTTCTTCATATTTGTAATTAAAGTTAAAGGTACATAAATCTCTTACAAAACGAAAATTAAAAATGCAAAATTTGTTCGGCGAATCTAGACACCCTAGGTGACAATTAGGCGCTCTAGCCGGACAACTAGGTGCCCTACGCGGCCAAGTAATTCACCTAGGCGTCAAACCAATTAGTCGGGGCACCCAGCCACCACCTAGCGCCTAGGCGGGGATCAGTCGGGCGCCTAGGGCGATTTTTAGAACACTAAGTGAAACATATATGGGGTAAATGCTTACTAATCGGGCTAACATTGAACTTCGTAAAATGCAAGTGATAGAGTATATATTCTAAAGAGAAGTGAGAGCTAGAGAGAGAAATGCAATAAGTTCTGCAATAAATGAATTTGTCCACCCCTACAACTACTCCCAAGGGGAGTATTTATAGTGGAAATGTGGGCTGGGCTACCAAGTCTTGGGCTTGGGAGGCTCATTTACAATGGGGCCATTACTGGGCCGAGTACAAAGTATGTAGAAATGACTAAGTATGAAATTCGGCTCTGTGAGCTCTCTGTGGCTGACAGAGGTCTAGCCGACGGAGCCACAGACGACGGAGACCCGGCTGAAGGAGACACCTGGTTCTCCTGGCTTCTGGATCATGTTCTGAGTTGATGTCTTTCTGGCTGATGGAGGGCCATCTGGCTGACGGAGGTCCCACCGAGTGACAGATGTGTCTCTTGTTCTTCTGAGTATGTGGGTCCTAGGGTCTAGACCCATATACTCCATCAAGAGTCCCCCACTCTCTGAGATGAGATGTAGACGAAGTGAGGGAGAGTAGATTCCTGCAATCTTGACGTTTTTGGCCGACGCAGGGGCGCTGTGGTTATTCTTTGTGTTTGGCCGTTGTATGCCCTTCGTTGTGGATGAAGGAGGCTACTGTTCCTCTGATGGTGTGCTTGCTGGTTTGAGGATGATGAGTGTCCTGGCTCAGTGGCCGATATGCGTCTTTAATTTGATTAGCTGGTGAGGGGGGTGTTTCTTCTCTTAGGTCGTTGTTGGTTGCCTTTTGTGTTTCGGGGCGAGGAGGCCCCATGGTTGCTTTTAGTACTCCAGACCGAAGCGGTAATATTCGTAGTTTGGCATCCATGGCTTTGAGGACGATAACGGCACTGGAACAGAGGACGTTGTGTGTCCTTGGTTTTGTGGACGATGATGGAACTGGGCCAGAGGACGTTGTGTGTCCTTGTGTTCTTATCTTGGCCGAGAGTGGAGTACGTGACCCCAAGGCCGTTAAGCGGCACGCGTCGAGGGATGACACATGTCACATTCAAGGAGGTGAGCTTTGCTTCCTTGTTTGCTTACTTAGTTGCGGCCGAGGGGGCACCACCAGGTCCTGGACGTTATGGTGCATAGATGATACGGTGTTGTTGTAGTTGTATACTTGTGCGTTTTTGGATTTTTAATTTTGTCCTTGCGTTTGGAGGCCGGTGTACTCCCCCAGTCCCCCACTACTTCAGGCCGAAGGGTCAGTGAGGGGTCAAGTAGTAAGGTGAAACCCTAGGCCGAAGCAGGATCCTCGTATTTCCCCTGAATCCAACCCCTTGGCGATTCCTGACCAAGGTAACCCTGTGGAAGAACTCTTGGACGCAGATCGCTTTCAAGAGGTTATCATCAGTAGGTTTTATACGGGGTCGATGGTTGTTAGGTTCTTTTCCACTTTGTTTTCGTGACCTTTGAAAGAGCCCCGTTGTTGGTAACATGTCAGACCGATACGGGCACATCTTGGGGCCTTTGATACCGAGGTGGCGTTCTGAAATGGGGCAAGCCATTGAAGTAATGGTTGGCTACTAGGGCCGATGTAGGCATGACCTGTGAACGTGGATGACCATCTCTCCTTAGTGTGGTCGTTGAATGTTTTGGCCATTATAGGTGCTACTTGTTGGTACGTTGGACGTGGGCTGATAGTGCTGGAAGTGGACCTGGCCCATCTTTTGAACCGGTGGCACCTTATTGGGCCCTGGGGTGGTGGCCATTCATGTGGCCACTGGGAGGGTGCCACGTGTAATGACCGTTGAGGGGAGGTCTATAAATACCCCCCTTCCGAAGGGAGTCCCCCATTTGCATCCTGAGCTAACGAAGTGCTGCCCAATTTTCTAGAGAGAGAAAGGCTTGCTCAAGTGCTCTTCGGTTCCTTCAAAACTTCAAAGGTCAGTTCGTCAACTTTTCTCCATTTTCTTGTATACTTTGCTTCCTTGGGCTTTGATCTAGTGTTAGTCAACGAGCCATACTTAGATCCCATATAGTCATCATTAAGGCTTGAGTAGTCGTTATGGTGAAACCTTTGGACGACGAGTAATTCCCGTATGATGATGAGACCTCTGCGAAGTCCCTTGATTAGCGGGTAGTGAATGAATGCTATGATGAGATAGAGGAATTGAGCTCCTTGAATCTAGGGGAGCAAGTAGGTGAGGAGGAAGTGGACGAGGATACCGCTTCGTCATCAGAGGGTGAAGACATCGGGATTTCCCGTGCCATGGATGGTGCTTCTACGTCGGCCGCCATTCCGTGCCCTAAACCAGTTTCTGGCTTTCTGCCGTTAAGGGGGCAGCTTTCGTGGCGGGTGGTCACACAAAGAGGAGGCGTCGGTTAAAGAAGGGTCCGGGTGTGTCTAATCTGGATCTCTCCAATATTTATCTCATCAAGCCGCAGAGCAATGCGGGTGAGTACCACGTCGCGCAGATATACGTGGGGTCCTATGGTAGGGTTAGGGTGCCCAAGCCGACGGACCATGTACTCAATCCTCCGGCAGGGTGCTTTGGGGTATACCCCATGAGCTTTGCGAAGGGACTTAGGTTCCCTCTCCACCCCTTTATCATAGAGTATCTCGATATGGTGGGCCTTCCCCCAGCCTTGTTGCCCCCAAATAGCTTCTCCTTGATCGTCGGCTTTCTGCTCCATTGCTCCGAGTTGTCCATTAAGCCGACGACGGCTTTGTTCATGAACCTGTATCAGATCGGCCGAGGCAGCCATCAGAATTGTGCCGGCTACGCCAATCTCCAGCAGATCAAGAATAGGAGGTCCTTCAAGGACCTTCCGATATCCATCCATGGCTGGAAGAGTAAGTTCGTCTTCGTATCGTTGGGCGAGGGGGAAGTTGAGTTCCCCTCTGTTGGCCACTCAGGAAATTTCAATCTCCACGAGGCACCGAAGAGCGCGTTCATTGATTGTCAAGTGGAGGAATTCTTGAAAGGTGCTCCTGGGGGTCGGTGCGACCATCATAAGGCTTGATGGTGTTGCATCGGTACTTCTCGGGAATAGGGGCCGAGAGTACCTTTGCAGTGAAGGGAGTCCTCGTCCTGATTTGGACGATGGGGTCACCTCGTCCCTCGGCCAACTCCCTCTCCAGGACGTTGACCTTGTGCAGGAGGGCGTTGAAGCCAGGATCCCTGGATGAGTTGCCCGCGAGAGTGGCGGCAAGCTGTTTGGCCTCCATCTGAGCGAGCCTTCGCTCGAGCTGGGTGATAACCTCGTCCTGGGGGTCCTTGATGGCCATGGTAGCACCTTGTGTTTGCACGCGGGCTGCGTGAGCCGTGTTGTTTTGGTGACGTGCGTCACCTTCGTGCAGCTTCCCTTTGCCTTTATCCAGGCGGGGCTGATCCGCTGTTCGGGATACGGACCCAAAGCTTTCCCTTGGTGAGCCAGGCTCACGTTCACCAATCCGTCCCGCCATCCTCTTCGATGTTGGCCGACGGCGCGTGTCACCAAACCTATTAAAGGCTGAGGCTTTTCCACGCGCCGGGGTTGGTCCAGCTCGAAGCGGGGAAGCAGGGTGAGAGTGGGATGGCGACGTGTCCTGGGCTTCAATCCCTTCGACGTTGCCTATCTTCATGACTAACGGCTGGGGCGGTGGAGTAGTGTTCTCCCCCGTCCTAGGCATGAGAGCGTTGAGGACGGTGGGATTCTGAGCTAGGCTAGCTATGATGGCCGATACAGCGGCCTGGAGCTTGGGGTCAACAGCGGGAGTAGTCTGTTGCCCCGATGCATGGTCTCCCTTCTCCATGCGTTTCTTCTCTAGGCCGATACGGGCGTCTTGAGCGTTGCCGTTGAGCTGAATGCGGAGATTAGCTGCGGGGTCGATTGTCTCTTGGAAGATTTCATCTTCCGCTGCCTTCTTGGTCATAGCGTCACCAGAGCGCTCACGACCCTCCTGAGCCTCGGGGATCGTCTTGCCGATGAGGTTGCGGTTTGACCTTGCTCTTCCCATCTTCAGTTAGCTTGTGTTTGGTAGCGACGAAGGATGCTAACTTGATTGTTCTAGCTCTCAATGAAAGCACCAAATGATAGAGTATATATTCTAGAGAGAAGTGAGAGCTAGAGAGAGAAGTGCAATAAGTTCTGCAATAAATGAATTTGTCCACCCCTACAACTACTCCCAAGGGGAGTATTTATAGAGGAAATGTGGGCTGGGCTCCCAAGTCTTGAGCTTGGGAGGCCCATTTACAATGGGGCCACTACTGGACCGAGTACAAAGTATGTAGAAATGACTAAGTATGAAATCCGGCTCTGTGAGCTCTCTGTGGCCGACAGAGGTCTGGCCGATGGAGCTACGGCCGACGGAGACACCTGGTTCTCCTGACTTCTGGATCATGTTCTGAGTTGATGTCTTTCTGGCCGATGGAGGTCCATCTGGCCGACGGAGGTCCCACCGAGTGACAGCTGTGCCTCTTGTTCTTCTGAGTATGTGGGTCCTGGGGTGTAGACCCATATACTCCATCAGCAAGTGTTAAGCAATACATCTACTGTTTCATGTTCCGTTACCTACGTTTTTTTCTATGTTCTCTTTTACAAACATTTTACTACTTTTTTTAATTTCTATCACCGTGCTTTTTATTGAGGATCGGAATAGAGGTACTACTCATTGTAGTATTACTCACAAGAAAAATGGTAGAAGTACAAACACACTTACAAAAACTTACAAACAAGTGATGTTGTTATTCTAATTAACTTTATCGTAAATGTGTTATAAATGTTATGTCAAATTGATGTGATGTGTTAAATAATTGGATAATGATACATACCCTTTTAGAAGACTTTATGTAAGAGTTTTTTACCTCTACTCACAAAAGATATGAATTAAAAATGGTAAACTTGGAAAAAGGAAAAATGACATATATATATATATATATATATATATATATATATATATATATATATATATATATATATATATATATGGAGTAGAATATTGCAACGTACCTATATGCATAAACAGGCAAAGCAGCCTTTACTGTATTATACATACATAAAGAAGTAGAGATTGGGCGATGCCTGCCTTCATGTCTGTGCTTTTGTGATCAGCATGTTAGGCTTTCACGGTGCAATCTCAGGGAATATTTCTGATCTCTTTGCTGGCCGCCCAGTTGCATGTTACTCCTACCTATATATTACTACTACATTATTGCATTGTCATTCTGTCTCCATTGAAATTTAAAAGCTATATACTGTCTACGTGGTTCCTTATGTTCCTGGGAACCAACACACCCCTGTGAATTAATCGCCATCTGTCTCCCTTTTTATGCGAAATTCGAGGCAACTTTTGCATGCTTTCGGCTTCAAAAAGTTTTGAAGATCATTTGTACACATCTGTTGGAAGATGATCCATGTACCGTGTTTTGATTCATCTTGACACTTGGCCTCATGAGTGAGCACACACTTTTTATTAATTAAAGGAGACCTAAATGATACTGATTCCGTCCCGAAATTATTGTCCTACTTTGACCTTCACACATATTAAGAAAATGAAGTTGACTTCACACTGTAGCGACACTGTTTGGCAAAATAACGACATTGTTTGGCACTGTTGCGACACTGTTTGATACTGTTTTGCATTGCTTGACACTATTTTGTATAGATTTGCTTACCAAATAAGGAAATTTTCAAAGTAGGACAGTTATTTTGGGACATCCATTTTGGGAAAGCAGAACATTTATTTCGGGACGGAGGGAGTACTAATTTGTCCCCTATTTTGGTTTGACACAATTATTAATAAAGCGGTTGAAAAGGTAAAAGTTGTAATAGAGATTTCAATATAATAAAGTGAAATCATGATGCAGACCACATATTTCTTTTTTTTAAAGGAACTTTATCACTTATTTTGGGACATCCAAAAAAAGTAGAACAAATAAAATGGGACCAAAGGAGTATGTCTTTCGTAGTTGTTGAAGTTTCACACCGTAAAATTATGAAGTACTATCTCCGTCCCGCTATGATTGTCTCATTTTACCTTATCGGTCCGTCCCACTAAGATTGTCTCATACCAAATTTGGTAAAGTTTGTGTGACTCTAAATCATTCTTACTTTATTCTTACGTTATCAATTCAATATCAACCACATAAACCAATATTTATTAATTTGCGTGTTACTCTCTCTTGTCTCATTCTTAGCGGGACGGAGGGAGTACTATCTAATAAATTGTTATATTAACATCTTGGGTTACTCCTCCTATGAAGTTAACAATACTTTTTTATTAGCAACAAATGATCTCGAATTAGCAGGACTAATACTAAACTATCAAAAATCCATTCAAACCCGCTAGGTTCCCACCATCATCTATACACCATTACATACAAGAAATCGCCTTGATTGGGCATGTCCCATGCTCTCGGAATAGCTTCCGAGAGAATTGCCATTGATTTCTTCAAGCACCAACAGATTCTCAACAATAAGCTAACTTTCACACTGTCGCTTGAGGCAAGACGAAATACTCATTGCCTGAACACTCAAGTTAGCCTCTAGCGTTAGAAAAGTCTATCAAATTCACTTTATTGATGACTTAAACACAATACCATACCTCTCACGAGGAAAAATCTTAAGTGTGGTAAGTGAGAGTGGTCATTTGTCTTCCATACTTATCTGCACATGTCAGTGCAATCAGGGGCGGATCTAGCATTTACGTTCAGGTGGGGCCAAAATTTAATCAAATAACGTATATTATAAAAAAATGTCAAAATGTAATACAGTATAATAATATCTTAGAAGTCAAAATGTAAATTATAGAAATGTCAAAGAATAAATTGAATATTACAGAACCGACAATACAATTATCTTAAAAGTCATAAATATCGAACCGAAGTTTTATCGGTTACCCAAATGTTTAGTGCCAATTTTTAGGTTAGTTTCTCGAAAACAAGATAAACCGATTTTTTTAATCTAAAATCTATACTCTATGTGAAGAAAACTTATTTTCACCTACGAAATCCAATGTATTCAACTAATTAATTTTTTGGTCAATATTCAAAAGTCCAATGAATAAAACTAATTAATTTTTAGGACAATATTCAAAAAGCTCGATCAATTGAACTAATTGGTTTTTCAGACTAATAAAGTCCAATTAGTTGGACTACTTGATTTTTGCATCCTAGTATTCAAAAGTTAAAATTCAGACTTGATTTGTGTAAGATAGCTTGTTCCTGGACTTGGATGGAAAATAAAAAAATATGCTCTAGCTAGGAATCGAACATAAACCTCTAGACTGCACAATCATACCTCTACCATCATACCAACGTAGCTTTTGTTTACAATAGGACGTTTGTTCTCATTATACCATTGCTTCACAGTACATATAATATATATATATATATATATATATATATACATACTAGTAATTTTTTTTTTAAGGTGGGACCTAGACCCTCCCTGGCCCTATGCTAGATCCGCCCCTGAGTGCAATAGGTAGGAGTATGAATTGAATTGGGTTGGTACAAAACAATATTATGTAGTACTCCCTATTACAAAATTTCCTGCATGTATATTAAAAATTATTTAGTTTTTTTTTTTAAATTTGGGATGAGCAAGAGCATATATAGCATATTCCCTAAGCTAGTCCATAGAAGACTAATGTTGCACGGGAACTGTAATGCTTGACTTTGAAAACTCTAAATAAATTGTTCAAAACATTTGTCGCTTTATTGAAAGATAATGTTTCCCGTTTCTCTATATTTCTAACGTTTTCATGCAATGTACATCACCATCAAAGATAGTTAATTTCGAAAGTGATGCCTCAACGACCGTTCGATCACGGGTCTCTAATCGAACGGTCTTCAGTTGAAGGTAGAATATATGCAACTGATGGTAAAATCATGACTTTTCAATTCCAAAGCGGACAAATATTTGAAAACAGCACCTTGTCTCCGTTTGGAGGCCGGCAGAGATATAGCTATAGTTAATACATTGTATTTGACTTGGTCTTTCCATGTACTGCCAAAATGATTCACCAGTGCACCTAATTCAATCTTTTTCTTCCCTAAATGATTGGGGGCTATACACTTGGTCATCATGAACAGCTATAACTCAAAGTCCTGTCTCAAAAAAGTTACTCCTACCGGCGAGCATAGCTCAACTGGTAGATAGAGGTGCCACAAGTGGTAATTCTCGAGTTCGAATCTCAGCAACTGCGATGAGAGGTTACTGCCTTAAATGCATAGGGCTTCTGTAAGTATCAGAGCCAGAGCTTCACTCTCTATCTGTCAGCTTGTGATTAAAGTCCAATTTATATTCTTCCATCGGTGTTGGGGGCGCTAGGGATGTGGTTGTCATCCTTTTTCTAAAAAGCTACTCCATTTATTTATACTACGTATAACTTAAAACCTGTAATTATTTATTTAAAGACACAGTTATGCTAGCTGCCGCTTTTAATAGTCATTCTTAATACAAAGCAAAAATATTGTAATATAAACATAACAAAAAACACATCACGTTCACACATGCACACCACAAAAAAGGCTCGACACCTCACTGATTATTGAAACTAAAATCTTGAAAGTTGACACCCACTATCAATGTTAATTGTCCCCGGGTGTCATTAATTTTCAAGTGTTTATTTTACGACATTTAATGATCTTAAATTCAATACCTCTAGTAGACTACCTACCTCTGATTCAAAGAAAAAGGGGAGCACAAAATTTAAAGAAATTGTAACTCCTGGCTAGCGTTTTAAGTGACAAAAGAGAACTCCCCAAGTGTGATTAAAATTATGTAAAAGGGTATAAGACTATAAGTAGAAGTTTATAATTTCATAAGATTAAACATGACCAATGATCATTTATGACACCATTTCTATCTTTTTTTTAACAATGTCTAGTGGTTGATGTATTTCTCGCGCGTCGGTTTAATGACTAATCATCGAGTGGCTGAATTTTTATGTTTGTGATTGTCAAAACTCATTCTACCTAGTCCCAATTTTTCTAGGATTTTGGAATCGGATAGCGACAGGGCCGAACCCTCTATTTAGGCAAACAAGTAATTGCCTCTGGCCCCAAAAATTTGGTAAATAATAAGGGCCCATACATAATTGTATTCTGGTATTATATGTATACAATTTTTTCTATTTTATTAAAATAACAACAATACAAAAAATATTAATCAAAATAATATCATGCAGCTATGTGGGATTAATTATATGATGTAGGCATATAAATTAAATTACTGCTTACAAATCTTACTATCCAAATTTTACATTATTCAAAGACCTTTTACAAAAATTTGACTCAAGCCAAAAAAATGTTAGAATCGACCCTGGACGACGATTGCGCGGTTTCTTTCATTCGCCTCCCTCCCAAACTGTCGCCGTGTTCTGAGAGGAAATTGGTGGCCGGACAAATCAAATGCAAGTAGTGCTTTACATTTCCCTTGTCGATATCTTACCAGGTTGGAATAGTTTGTGGATCATTAGTGCTCATCGGAAGTTGTTCTGTTTCTTTTCATTCTACATTTTCAATTTGTACTATTTGTTTTTTTTATTTACGTTTGTTCTTTTTGGTTTAGCTTTTGTGATCGATGCAGTGAACTTTTTTTGAGTTTCTTTTGAAAGTTACTAGTCAGTCAAGGTCATATTGGGCTTGAAGATGCTCGACAAGTAATTAGCGATTCAAATTACTCTTTCGTGAAGGATTGGTTCTATATCTAAAAGTAGAGCTATTGCGGGAATTGAGTGCTAAATCTTAGGATCATAGTTTCTTTATGTTTATTATGATTATTTTAGGGGTGTGTTTGGATCAGATTCTTAAAACTGTTTCTGCTCCTTCAAGGTGAAAATGAAGAATTGATTCTGGTGCTCTAATTTACTCATAGAATCAGTTTTTTTAGAAGCCGGGGGTACCAGCTTCTGAAAACTGATTCTGATTCTGCTTCTGCTTTAAAAAAGAAGCAGAAGCAAAATCAGTTCCAAACACCCCCTTAATATAAATGTTTACCATAAAAATAGTTTCATCGGATTAAAACTTATGTACTATTTGGCATTTCATAGGTATTATTGATAACTTTGATGATATGTGTGTATCATTTTTAATATGTGATGGTTAGGTTGTCATTTAAGAGTGTTAAATTATGATGTCATATTCAATTAAAAAAGTACTCGTATGACATTTCCAAATAGGAAATCGTGATTTTCCCATATATGAAATCGTGACATTTTCATATTGAAATCATGCCATCTTAAGATCAAATTATGGGATTCTCATATTGAAATTCATAGCAGTTTCACATCGAAAACAAGTTTATAAAAAATGAAAAGCAGAGAATAAAAACGGAGGAGGGGGAGAAGAACTTACATGCGAAAACTAATTCCCGTTGCCATAGCTGACTTAACTCACCATAAAAAGTCTCTTAAGAAATCAAAATCGAAATGTAGTGAAGAGGGAAGAGTAAGGGTAAGAGAGAGTGGAGGTGGAGATGCGTGATCTGAGTAAATTTCTAGATTAATTAGGTTTTGATTTTTAATTACTTGTATGTGTGTAAATTAATGAGGTGGAGATCCAATGGTTTGCCAACAATTTTCTTTGACAAAATGCACCTGATATTTAGCTCAAGAGTACTTTGGCTCAAGAGGGATTGAGTAACATTGACCTCTTTATGAGGATTTTAAGATTTTTTACTTACTTCATTGTGCAATCCTATAATAATTGGTTATGAAATTTGACCCTTTTAGTATATTGTTATGCACACAACCCAAACAAATTCTGAGTAATCGAAAATCGGTT